CCCCCCCTCCCCCCCCCCCCCCCCCCCCCAAAATTGGGAAAATTTAAAAATGAGGAGAAATCCTTGTAACTGAATGAGTTAAGGAAGAAATAATTTTGAGTGAAACTAAACTATGTAAACTGGTATTGGAAATAGTTGGGGTTTTAACTTCTGGGTTTTTTTAAAAATGCATTAGACTCTTAGATTTGTGTGTGGTTTTTAAAGCAACAGTAACTCCATGTGTCATCCTACTGCCAAAAGCAAGTAGTTAATATGCATGTGTCTTTCCTTCTAGGTCTGTCAGGAACCTTAAACTCCCAGTAAGTACTGGAGAGTTGGGAGACAACCCCCACAGCAGTGACACACAACACTCACAGCCTGATCTTCTAAGGGCACTAAGGTGAGAAGGAGAGAGCAAAATCGAACTAAGAGCAGGGTAACAAGGCTTCTTATAAAGTAACTGTCTTTATAAACACTTAACCCATTGGAGTTCATGACACTTTAAAGCTCCCCTGAGTAATTTCTACTTGTACTTGCCTTTGTTGTCCTCTGTCTCCTGGTCAATCACTGTGCAAACCTCTGACTTATAGTAATGCTAAAACCTGAAGCTAAAGACAAAAGGGGACACAGAACACCTTCTTGTCCATGTGCAGCTGCACAAAGCCAGAGTGGTATTGAATGAGAGACTTCTCCAGATTTCTTTTTTCTGTTACAAAACAACCTAGTAAATCCCATGCAAATCTCAAAGGGTGTTGGCTGTTGCTGAATTGTAGGAGGAAGCTGGTGAGATGCTGAATGTTTTTTCCCTTCTCCTTGCAGGGACCTTGCTGTCTCAAACTCCCAGCTTTCCAGAAAGCACTACAGGATTCAGAGGGATGCTCAACCAGTTGTGCTGCCTTGGAAGAAAAGCATCTGGAAGAAAAAGAGATAAGGAACAGGTGCAAATCCTGTTCACCAGATGTATTTGAAGTGCTGTGGGTGCCACTAGCTTCTCCCTGGGCAGCTGGAAGAGTGGCAGGAGAGACTGGTGTGTGAAGCGAGTGGGGCTAACTGGAAAAGCAGGAGAGATCGGATAGCAGCAAAGAAGAGGCTGCACACCTGCCAAGTAAACCAGCACTCTAGAGAGTCTTGTAAAGGGGAAAATGGGGTCTCTCTCTTCACATGGGCATGTATGTGATGTGAAGGTGTGATCCAGCTCCTTGGATCAGGAAGGAATCTGGTTGTTGAGGTACCAGCTCAACGCTGCATTGGATTGCTAGAGAAATGGCCAGCCCTGTCTGGGTAGTCGAGACAATGAAAACAGATGTGTAATTCTGAATATGGCAGCACTGAAAACTGTCTTATCACAGGCCTGGTCCACTGTGCCTTTGAATTGTTTGAACATTGTTTCAGCTTGACTGCATTCAAACATGGTTTGCCTGGCTATTGTAGATGAGGACAAACTGTCTACTTGGGTTTCTTGTCTTAGCACTATTCCCTTTTGTCTTGGCAAAGACAGTAAGGTATACATGTGAAATATGGATTGCTGTGTGCTTTTCTTAAATGATTTACAGGAAGTATGGCAGCTACACAAATGGGAAGTCTTGGGCTGGGGTGGGCTTCATATGTCTAATGGTATGGGTTGGAGGAGGCAACTAACCTGTGGCCTCACTGCTAAGCGGGTCACAAGTGGGCCATTTTCTGGGAGTGGCTCAAGCTTAAAAGGGATCCTACTCCATTTAAACTTTGAACCCACATTTCAATCTAAGAAGGACCTGTGCCTTGTGCATCAGATCAGGCTCTTCAGGAACATGGGTGGGAAAGCTTAAGCACAGCAGCATTCCCTCTACTATCTTGTCTGTCACTAGAAGTGTGTAAGGCATAAAGTCACCCCTGGCTTGTGTTAGTTCCACGGGGTGGGGAGGAACTGTTGGATTTGGATGCAAAGCCAAGCTGCTCGTCTGAACAAGCTGAGTGGTGGAAATGCTGTCTCTTCTCCCAAGGCATATAATTAGCTGACTAAAATGCATTTAACTTTAACTCTTCACCTAGAATCCCAGCCTTCTGATGTGCAGAAAATCCTACATTAAAGGAGAGGCTTGGATAGGGACAATGACAGTGGGTGCTTTTTAAATTCATTATTTTTTATCTTTTTTTATGGGGGGGAGGAGTTGCAAGGAAAGGCTTACTTTTTGCTTCGTTTAGTAAGCCTGATCTATAACAGAAAAAGTAGCCCTCCTAACTTGGATATGGTTTGTGGTTTTTAAGTTGGAGCCAGGTGGGTGCCCATAAGGTGGAAATGAATGCTCAGTAGGAGAATGTGGCACCATATCTGCAATTGGAGTAGGAATCAGCCTTCTCTTTAAAGAAGAGAGCAGCTTGGACCAAATCCACAATTGGATCTGGAGTATTCTAAGTCCAACCATGCTTGGTGGTGGAGGGATGCAAGGGAAGAACTTAGCTTCTATGGTCTAGAAGACTTTCTTTTTAGACAAATAAGGTTAAGCCTCTGAAATTGTATCACAAGTGCACTTCTGATTTTTTCCCCCCCCCCACTGCTGAACTTCTACTGTAGAACATGAACTGGGCATGTTGTTAAGGCAGATGTTAATGCTTATGTGAAACAGCTGCTGGAAACTTTCTTGCATGACTGCAGTATGACACTAAGCCATCTTGGAAGGGATGATGCATGTGTGTGGAGTTGGGTTCTACTGAACATACAAAGAAGGGGGATAGGGAGTGGGATCAATTAATTGTCTTCCATGTTTTACTTATGACAAAAGTCATTAGCTTCCTAGAGCTGGAGAGAGAGAGCTTTTCTTAGCCTTCTGAAGGCTTAAATCATCCTAAAAGGATATACTCCAAAGGAAAATTTTTTGCACACTTTAATGTTGTCAGTTAAGTAACTTAAACTACTGCTGTAAAGTACTGTGTATGTCTATAATGTCCTTTCATAGAATGTAATAATTTATTGCACTTGCATACTGTATGTAGCATCTCAACAGTTCTGTATATTTATTTTTATTCTGTTTTGGGTAGTAATTTGCAAACTCTTAATTTGTAATAAATAATGACAAAAATTGACGTTTCTTGTGGGAATGGACATTTTTCTTGTGGAAATGGAAAACCCTCAGATATACCTTTTAATGGTAGGGAAAGACTGAAAGGTGTGATGGGGGCAGAAGAGTGCAGGTTGTTAAAAGAAGAACAACCCCCCCAGTCGTATTTCAACCATGAAACTAATGGAGCTGTAAAATTAGACAAGAATAAGGGGTGACTTCTGTTATTGTGAAAGGTCATGGAGCAGGTTTCAGCCCTAGGTGGGTCCTAGCTCACTGGTAGAGTGGGGTAGAAAAAACGTACTTGGGGTGGTTCAGGCAAACCTCAGGAGGAGCAGGCTCATCTCTCCACATCAGAACAGTGCAATAGCAAGAACACAAGATTTGGGTTGTGCTGAGTGCAACATGCAGGATTTCTGCATGTGAAGGTCCAGACTACTTGCTTTCCCCCCTTATAGCAAGGAAACTGAGAACAAAAAGCACTGTAGACATGGAATAGGCTTGAGGAGACTGAAATAATCCATGTCCTTTCCAGTCACCCCCAATTCCAGTACACCCAACCATCTGAAACTGTCTAAGTATGGAAGACCTATTATCTATAGAAACAAAACTAGTGCAAACCTGTCTAGTGTAACCCTCTCTCCTACACTCCATTCAAATTGCTGTCCCAATAACCTTGAAAAGAGGAGCAGAAAAGGAAAAGTGGGGGGAGATGGGAGGCAGGGGGTGGGGGGAGGCTTGGTTTTGCTTCCTGTCTCTGCTGTGCATACCTCAGGTATGCTCAATGAGGAAGCTGAAGGCTACATGAGTTTGTTTCCTTCATTTCTACATCACTTGGAATGTTTATTGTGCATTTGTCAGGACTGTTCTTTTATTTATCTGTCATAAATCATAGAACTATGGTCTTAGGTTGAATGTGGACTTGCTTCCCCATTCTCCCTGTACTGAAACAAGACTCTCAGAACAGCCCAAAGTCCTGTAAGTATGAGTGCTAATAATGGGAAGGAAAAGTCCCCCTCGCTCTAAATATTTCTGAAAATGGGTTTTGGCTCATCTGAAAGATGATGGCTCAATGCAACTTGTGCAGGGCGCAGACTCGCTTGTTAATAATGGTTCCTTCTGACCTTAAAATCATTTAATAGGGACAACCTCAATGGGATTTGAACTATAGCAAATCTCCTTGAGAAAGCGCTCTTCATACAGCACAGCAAGTCCTCTGACAGGAACCTTTGGCAGTTAACATTTTTGGCAAGCAGGCTGGAAATACCTCAGGTTGGGCATCCAAGACTTGAGGAACCTAAAACCATGAGCTATCTTTAAAAATCTAAGGCCAGATTCTCTTCTGGGACCTGCTTTAATGACCATTAAAGGCTCCCATTGACTTCAAATGGCATTGGATCAGTCTGCTAGTGCAAATTAGTATTGCTGCATTGACTTCAGTGGAGATATGCCAATGTCTACTGATAATCTGGCTCTTGGTCCTAGTTAGTAACAAGAGTTAATACACAATATCCACAAGCAAAGGAAAGGAAAGCTGCTTAAAACTGTATCAGTAAGAATCATAAGAGATGAGATGAGAGGTATTTATTTAAATATTCATAAAGTACCAAGATTGGATGAGTAAGGCCAAAGGATATTTTAAAATTCCCACCCATAAAATGAAAGGGACAAAATAATTAAACTTCATTAAGAAAAGCCCAGTGCAGCAGATGCCTGCAGCTTTTGTCACTGTGATGGAGAGTGCCAGAGTCATTTTCCAATGTATCATTTTAGGCTAATTGTTATTTCTCATGATTAATGATCCCCATGATGTATTAACATTTCTGCCTAGCACCGAACTCTTGGTTTCTCTCCAGCAGAAGATTCTGTAACAAAAGTGTTTCTACTTAGCTGACAAACACTTGGATTACATGCACTGTAGGACAGATCTGGAGCCCCTGATGCTTGTTGGCCAACACCTTGTTCCACATTCCCTTCAGTGGGGCTACTGATGGAGTGAGACTATTCAGCAAAAGCAAGGAAGTTAGAACCTAGACCTGAAACTGAATATGTACTTCTAGTTAGACACTATTCAATCTGTATCAGAAATGATTTGCACTTCCAACTTGGCTACTTTGGTTCAGCAGAGGGTTTTAGAGGAGATAACACTAGAACAGCAAGCCAGGAAGGGACTGGGGTAGACTGAAAACCTCTGTGCAGACATTCTTTAAACCTTCCTGAAGCCTTTAATAAGGTTCAAAAGACAGCCTTTGACTTCCTTCATGCGGGCTATGCTAGTATGTCTCCCATGGGCATTAACGTGCTAAATAAAGTACATTTAGAACTGTATTTTGTATGAACCTTTTCAAGGCTACGCAAATAAAGGAGTCCTACAACAAGGGCTTTGATTAAAGGAGCTGGACCAGGAAGATGTCCCAGGTAGTATGTGAGACAAGATGGTAGGGGATGTGAGACCAACTGCAAACACCAGCAGCTGACACCTTCGCTGTCAGAGGCAAGGAGCTCATTGTGTGTGTGCAACACAGTTAAAGGGGTGTGCAACTGTACCCCCGCCCCCCACCCCCGATCCTCCCTTGTATATCTGCAACTAGATAGCTCATTTTAAGCACAACTAAAGTTATGCTGGTAACAATGAAACTTAAATGGTTCAGCCGTTTAGTCCAGATGAGCATCTATACACTTGGCTCGGGCTAGAAAGCCCAGAAGAGTTTCATTACCTTCCAGCTCAGGGCAGATGAAGGCTAGCAAGGAACTAGTTTTTAGGCACTTCAGCTTCTTGTCCTAAATGAGAACAGGAAGCTCAGAAGGTGAAAACTGGAAAAGAAAAATTAAATGAGTACAATCATATTAAATAATCACATCAAATAATAACAAAATCTATTTTTTATCCATTC